CTTGGGAAATGCGGTAGTAGTATCAATTGATAATATTTTTCGCCCACTAGAATTAATCTATTGCTTTTAGCATCACTATTTTTTGCTAAAAAGTGTTTTACGCTTCATATTAAAATAAATACCCCCAAAATGTAATTTAAAGTGAGAAGCGAGATCATGTTTTCATTATGACAAGGTTTTATCTGCACTTATAACAATAATTATAAACCGCAGATAAAAAAAACAGGTTACTTTTTATGATGAAATAAACAGGTTAGTTACATTTTTTGATTAAAGCAGCAATAATAAACTGTAATTATATAATCTAACGAGATTTTATTACACACACACACACACTCACACACACACAACCACACACACACACACACACACACACATATATATATATATATATATATATATATATATATATATATATATATATATATATATATATATATATATATATATATATATATATATATATATATATATAGATATATATGTATACATATATATATATATATATATATATATATATATATATATATATATATATATATATATATATATATATATATATATATATATATATATATATATATATATATATATATATATATATTATGTAGCAAATATTCTAACTATATAATATATTAATAACAATATAACATATATCTAACAAGAATCTTTCGTTATATTACGTTTTAAACCATTACATTTTAGACAATTCTTAAAAGCTTTTCATTGCAGCCGTTCATTTTATAGGTGAAGAACCACCGGTTAGTAATCTCGGTCCTGGAGAGACATAAAAGGGAATGCAACCGTAATGTCTTTTTTTTTAGATTTGGAAGTTAATTTGTGCAAGTTGAAATCTTTAATCTAACATTCAAAAGTCTAAAAGTTGATAGTCTAGTGCCAGAATCTTTTCAATTAGGTTATTTGATTACATTTGACATTAGCACACGTCATAGGTTCATTTCAATCATGGCTAGATTTAAAATGTATTATGCGTGATACTTGAGTTAATTTTAAAGAATTAACTTGAAGTTAAATAATTTTTCTGATAAATAATAGTCTTCGAGGTGTTGTGGGCTTTTTTGAATTACATACCGGTTTTTACATCCATTTAAAACAATCATGACAACCATTTAAAACAACCATGACATTCATTTAAAACACAATTAATTAAAACATGTATTATGCGTGATACTTGAGTTAATTTTAAAGAATTAACTTGAAGTTAAATAATTTTTCTGATAAATAATAGTCTTCGAGGTGTTGTGGGCTTTTTTGAATTACATACCGGTTTTTACATCCATTTAAAACAATCATGACAACCATTTAAAACAACCATGACATTCATTTAAAACACAATTAATTAAAACAATGTGATTTTCAATTAAAACATTTAACGCATGCGCAATCTCAACATTCTATATTATTTTTAAAAAAAAGTTTTCTTTATATTTTTTTTATTCGATTTTTTAAAAAAATTTAAAAAATTTTATTTTATTTAAAATATAATGTTTATTTTCCAATTACTGTCGAGGTATGTCATCTGACCTAAGACACGCTTGGAAAAAGCTTTCGCAGTGTGTGTAGTAGTTTGATAAGTTAACTTTAGCAATAGATAAGCATGCCTCACGCATTCTTGAAATTAGTTCATTTCTTCCAGCTGGGGCCGTATTTCTTCGCACGTTATTCTTAAGATAAAAAAAAATCTCTTCACACAGATTCAAGAATGGTGGATATGGTGGCAAATATTTTATTTGAATGTTCTGAGCCTTCATCTCAACATTATGATGGATTCTGACCAGGACCGGATTTAGCCTTTTGGGGACCCTAGGCCAAAACAAGTCTACTATCACTCACAAACCTTAATTGATGGTAAAATCTAAGAATTTTTAAATATTTTTACAAATTTTTATTTGTTTTGGACTAATGCAAAATTTAATCAAAATGGAGTTGACAGTTGACAGAATTTCGTTGTATATTCAAAATTCTTTCAATAGATGTCATTAGGTATAAGAAAAAAATATAAACCGGTGTTTTTGATTTTTCTACACATAATTTTTAGTTTTCAACTTTTTATGTTTATTAAATTTTGGGACCCCCAAATGTTGGGGGCCCTAGGTCGTGGCCTAGTCGGCCTATACGTAAATCCGGCCCTGATTCTGACATTATCCATCACCAGGGTGAATTCTTCCTTTGTCCCCAAAACTCGTACAACTTCATCAAAATATTCTTGAAACAAAACTGTGTTGACTGACACACTGACAGCTTGGCAGTGAATAATATTTAAACCATTGACGGCCAATATCATCGAAACGTTACGTTGCCTAGGATGAATGATCGGGTTTGGTGTTACTCCTCTTCTTGCTCATGAATGACTGCGAAACGAAAAATGTGTAAATTAAATGAACTTTCATCGATAAAAACAATATTTCGATAGCGATTAATAGGCGAGATTGAAGTATACCACTTAACATATTCAATACGAAGATTTTTTATATCATTGTCGTTTCTTCTTTCATAAATTGGTCGAGTAATTTTATATGTGTATTCAAGATTGGTCACCCATCTCCAGACAGTTTTAATTGATGCATTTACATTTAAAGCATATTTAATTTCAATTATAGTTGTCGTTGTGTTATCTTTTATAAGCTCTTCAATTCTTCTTCTAATCTCTTCATTATAAATAACGGGACGAGCGCCACCTCTAGAACCAGGAAGTATTGAATTTGTTCGATCGTACCTTCTTAAAATTGATTGTATTGTGTTTCGATTAACTCCTGTTAACGATGAAGCTTCAGATTAAGTTTTTCCTTGATCAACGACCAATCTCAAAACAAATTTTCGCTTATTTTGGCAAACTGAATTTCGCTGCATGTTTTAATGAAAATCTAATATCCTCATGCGCTAAATATTTTTATAAGAAATTATGGTTGTTTTAATTATCATCATGCATGTTTTAATTGAACATCATGGTTGTTTTGCCAATACAGTATGTGTATAAGAAATATGTTAAAAAATATGGTTTTGCAGCCATCTAAAACAAACGTGACATCCACTCAAATTTAAAAAAAAGTTCCATTAAATTAAAATAAATAATTATAACATTAATAAAAATAAATTTATATAATATTAGATAAATAAATATATAAAAAAAACCTTTTTTTTAAAATAATATAGAATGTTGAGATTGCGCATTCGTTAAATGTTTTAAATGAAAATCACGATCGTTTTAATTGAAAATCACATTGTTTTAATTAATTGTCGCGGTGTTTTAAATGAATGTCATGGTTGTTTTAAAAGGTTGTCATGATTGTTTTAAATGGATGTAAAAACCGGTAATAATGGTGATACGATTAACTTGTTTTAGGATCCTTTTTGTTTTTTAATTAACTTGTTTTAGGATCCTTATTATTTTTATATTTTCGGTTAACTTGTTTTAGAATCCTGGTTTTTAAAATCTTATTAGATTATTAAAATCAGTTTTCCTTGTGAGCTTTTCAATTTCATTACGCGCATTATCTATTTCCTGAACATATGAATAACCAGAAAGTGAGTATTTTGTAGTGATTAATGCTAAAATTGTTTCATAAAAAATGTAACACAGCATTAGATATTAAACTGTTCCAACAACTAGGTTGTTCACTTTATTTAATCTGTTGTAACATCTAACATCTTGCAAAAAGCCATTGATTCACTCTCTCAATTCTCAGTATTGTTGTTTGGTTGTTAATGTGCTGTTAAAGTAAACTTTGCTTTCATTTCTATAAATATGATTTAAAAAAATAGCGAATGTTTGCGTTTTAGTATCAGAACTTTAATTTGATGAGCATACAATTTTCATTCATAACCAATCATAGAAACTAATTGAAAAAGAAGCGGGAGAGTCTGAAGTTCGGATGTTTTTTGAAAAGCACTGTTTTTTGAAAAGGATTGTTTTTGAAAAGCACTGTTTTTGAAAAGCACGATTTAATTCACTATCGAAATAATAAAAAAAAACAACAAAGCATTCTTATTAGTTAAGCGTCCGTTATACACTAAAGTTGTTAATTAGATTAAAAAAAATTGATTAGAATAAATAGATCTTTCTAGTAAAGATTGCAAGTTAAATAATATAAGTAAATAGCAAACAAAGTTGCATTATCTCATTTTCTCTAAAAATTTCTCAATTCAATTTTTTTTTGCCGTTTAAACGAAAACATCCTTTTACAAAAAACTATTATAAAATCAACCTATTTATTTAAACGTATTGTTTTTTGTACTAAGATTTATCATTTGATTCCATAATAACGAGCCATTAGTCGTTGTAGAAAAATTTGATTTTTTTGAGTTGGTTGACACCTGTCATGGTTGTCACCTGTCATGATTGACACCTGTCATGGTTGACATCTGTCATGATTGACACCTGTTATGGTTGTCACCTGTCATGATTATCCTGTAGTATTCGTCCCAAGATTATACATTCAAGAAAATTTTTAAAAATTTCAAAAATGTTTCAAAAAAATGTTTGAAGTTATTTTTATTCTTATAAATATATACTAAAATCTGTAATGACTTTAAGTTGTTTTGTCTTAGAGCTTAATTTCCATAAAATAAGAGATAGACACTTTGCATTTTGTCTTTTATTTATTTTTTACACTACATAAGATTGGTCGGTTTTGTATGAAAATGATTTTGAATGAAGTTAATAAGTTAAGGAATTATTAAATTTATAAAAATATTCTTGCGGTTGAGATTCCAACTTAATTAACGTAATAGCAGGTGTAAAAACAAGTCAATAAATATCTTTAAAAGTTTTGTTTTATTTTGAAAATATTTTTTTATTAGTTATCTAACAAAGTATATTTACTGAGGGTAAGCAAGATTTTTTTTTTGTCTTTTTGTTAATTAAGTTATCGTAATTTTATTTTGATTATATCTATTTAATTAGGAACATGTCAAGAGTTGTCCCTACGAAAATATAGTATGCCCAAACGAGCTATGCCAAGATTTGTTTCCGAGAGGGACACTTTCACAGCATTTAGAGCAAAGATGCAAGTTCCGATCGGTTTTTTGTCAGTTTTGTTCAGAAAAATACATACACAAAGACGTCAAAGTATTTTATTTAAACAATCTAACATATTTGTATAATATAAATATATCTTTTCATACTTGCATAATAAAAATGATATTCGTGACATCACAGATATCTTTAACTTGCTTTATATTTTTAAATTTTTTTTTTAGAGCCATTTAAAACATTGCAAAAAATTTCCTATGGAATGCGTAAACAAGTGTGAAAAAAAAGACATACCACGTGAAAAGGTATTAGGCTTTATGCATCATACATCAACTAAGGCTTTGGGTTTGGACAAGTGACTTATATTTTTAATACAAAAATAATTTCAATGTTATTTTTTTTTTCTTTCAGCATTCTTTTTAGTGTTTTTAAAATTTTTATGTCAACGTATAAAGTTGGTAAAAACACTCAGAAATGTTTTTAACAACTTTGAACATTGTCAAAAATCCACAACTACTTTAAAAACAACAATTTTTATCCATTTAGAAAAATCTAGGATAAAATTTTTTATTTTTATTTAGATGGCGTCACATTTAGAAGAATGTCCATTTTCTATAGCACTATGCCCGTTTTCAGAAATAGGATGCGAGTTTTCTGTAAGTATTCCGAATAATAAAAATAGCTGTATTGAAAGCATATGGTTAGTATTTAATTAGTGCTAAAGACAAGAATAATTAAAATGATAGCAATTGAGAAAAAAAAAGTTTTATCTTAAATAAATAACTTGTTTTATAATAAACAAGTACCTTAATTTTTACAATTAATTTATCGTTATTAACATTTTTTTAATACAAATATTTTTACATACTTTTTTTATTTATTTTATTTGCTTATAGTTTTTTTCTATTATTAACTTAATATTTTTTGTTTTGAATAAGGGTAAAAAAGATGTTTTGGAAAATCACGTCACATTAGCAGTAAATGACCATTTATCTTTGGCGATGACAAAACTTCTAATACATGAATGCCGTTTTGTATGTACTAATGGCATTTTTGTCTGGGCTGTGCCAAACTTTCGCGTTCAATTTGAAGCAGCAAAGATTTCTGAAGAAGATAAAGCTGTATACAGTCACCCTTTTTATACAGCCCAGTATGGTTATAAGTTGAGAATTAAAGTTTACTTAAACGGTAGAGATCGAGGAAAGGGTACGCACATATCCTTGTACCTAATTATAATGAAAGGAGATTATGACAACTTACTGGATTGGCCTTTTAATCATAAGATTACATTTTATTTACTTGATCAAAGCGTTCATAGAAAACATAAAGTTCATCAACTTAGTCCCAATCGCTCTTTACCAAATGTAAGAGCAGTTTTTAATCAACCAACTTCAAAAGAGAACCTTGGTATCGGAAATCCAAGTTTTGTATCTCACGAATCTATGATTGCTGGAGGGTATATAAAAGATGATACTTTGTTTATAAAGTGTGAGATAGAACCTGTAAATAATAATATAAAATAAACAATAATATAAAAAAAAAAACTTAAACTTACAATGACAGAGACATGACAAAAGAAAAATACCCCTGCAAATATTTTTTAGTAAATACTTTTTCAATAATTATTGGCATTTTTGGCTGAATAATAGAGTTGTTGCTCATTAGTTATCTAGTAACCATCAGCAGCGCATGCTACTGGTTTACTAAATAAACAGAAATCTAATGATTTAAAATGTTGATAGATGTGCACTGAAAATCTACTAAAAATATATGTAGGGCGCCATGTGCTGAAATTAAATCGAAAATAGGTTTTGACAGTACATCAAATCACTTTACAAAAACATAAATAAAGCTCATCAAATTTTGCACCAAAGGTTACTTAAAATATTTTTTTACGTTTATTTAACATAAAAAAGACAAACATGAGCTAAAATTATGCATTTAAAATATATAAACAAGTTAACATATTTTTATTATTTGTGTACGTTCTTGTGAGATTATAATTAATGAGATATAATGCAACTTAAAAAGACAAGATTTTTTAATTTTGGCCTCACATTTAATATTTACTAAATTTAAAATTAGCCTCACTGTATCAAGTTCCTCATTTTTTATTTTTAAGTCCCTATCTTTTTTTAAGATTTTAAAATTCTTTTAACGTTTTTTAAGAAAAAAGGAAATATAACGATAACTTACAACTAAAATTTGAATTTTTAAGACAACTTAATGTATTTTATATATAAACTTATAAATATATGTTAAAAATAAAAGCAAAGCAAGAGATCAAGAAATAATAAATACGAAAGCAAGACTTCATCAAATAGTTCAAAAATTCCAAAAACCTTAAAATAAGTCTTAAAAATAAAGAAAATAAGAAAAAAAAAATTTAAAAAATAAAAATAAAAAATATTTTATTAGGTATAAAAAAAAAATCAACAAACTTCAATTTTAATTTTGGTTTTAACTGATTAAAAGTTCCATGTGTTTTAACATCATTAATGGTCATTGTGTTCCAAATATTAGGTCCTCTAACTTTTATTGAGAATTTAGTGAATACATACAGAATTTTTGATTAAGCATAACTGTTTATTTGAATATTTAGTAAAGCATTTAAAAACATTGTTAAGTAACTATTTGAAGAGATTTTTGTATGATGTCATTATTTTTCTATAAATAAAGATTTTTTATTGAGCACACATTTTGTATTTTCAATTTATTAAACAACAGCTTTAATTGTGCTTGGATTTATCATTCTGTACATTTGATGTTGATGGTACATCTGATTGCATTTTGTTGTTGCTGCTGTTGTTGTTGTTGTTGAAGTTGTTAATGTTGTTGTTTTCTTTAAATCCAAGTTTTTTGTCTAGTTTTACTTCAAACTATATTTGCATGCTTGAGTCAAAAAAAAAAAAAAAGTGAGCAAAAAATATATATATTCTAAAAATAGTAATATTAAAAGAATTTTGCTATATAATGAAAACCAATATTTTTAGAAATTATTTCTAATTATATTGCTTGTATATGACCTCTCTAAAGTCATATACAAGCAATATAATTATATCCGGCCGGATATGCCGGGTATGTTAAATATTGTAGGAGAATAAGAGGACGGGGTTTTGTAGAAGTGCTCCCTTTCCCAGTGATGACTACCTAACTGTTGCCGTGTCCAAGATTCTTAAATATTAATTATGTTTGAGTTTATCCAGTTTCATTTTTACTTAGACCTTACCAAACTTAACTTAGACCATTAAAAATGATAGACCTTTGCTATGTAATGCTATTATAAAAGTTTTGCTTAGAGACGTCAGTCTGTGGCAAAAAAATGTTATTTTAGGTCAAGATTGCTTTTGCATTTATCTTATATTTTTTGATTAATCTTAATTAGGGTATATACTATTGCATAAAAAGATTGCATAAAAAGATGAGTTTGTTTTAATTACAATAGTAATTAATAAATAGTTTTTAAGAAATGACAGTAATTACTATATTTAGTCTTTATTAGAATATATCCCATAGAAATATTTTCTAAATATTTTTAATAAAAAGAATTTTTCCAAAAAATTTAAATAAAATTTTGTTTTTTCTAGTTTTGTGCCACAAAGTGACGACACATTGCTGAAAGATTTTCTTTCAACGATTTACGAAAACGTCTATCATTTTTAATGGTCTAAGGAACTTAAGGAGTTAGTTTAAAATGGCGTCTTATTAGGAATTCCAGGAATTTTTAAAATAGAAGAGTTTCACTATGGGTGTAACTAAAGTAGCGTACGCTACCTAAATATATAAAAATTTATTTAGGACATTTATTTATTTATTATTATTATTTTTTCTTCTTCAGGTATGCCATATAAAATATACATTTATTATCGTGATAAAAAGAAAATATATATACAAAATTATTACGTATCAGATTGATAAAAATGCGTTAATATAATTTTTATACATTAATATAGTATTGATACGCAAACTTTAATATAGATTCTGGTATAATAACTATTATATATATATATATATATATATATATATATATATATATATATATATATATATATATATATATATATATATATATATATATATATATATATATATATATATATATATATATATATATATATATTTGTACTTTAATACCTAAAAAAAAAAAGAAATCAAAGAAGATTCAGCATTTTCGGGTATAAAACTCCAAAAAAAATATAATATAATATATATATATATATATATATATATATATATATATATATATATATATATATATATATATATATATATAAAACAAAAAATAAATAAAAATATGTATGTGTATGTATGTATATATGTGTTTGTGTATGTATGTGTGTACATTGTATATATGTATATGTGTATGTGTGTATATGTATATATATGCATGTATGTATATGTATATATATGCATGTATGTATATATATATATATATATATATATATATATATATACATATATATATATATATATATATATATATATATATATATATATATACATATATATATATATATATATATATATATATATATATATATATATATATATATATATATATATATATATATATATATATATATATATATATATATATATATATATATATATTATATATATATATACGCACACACACATACATATATATATTAGGGTGGGTCATAAAATTTTTTTTCTTCTTACAGGCTCTAAACAAACTAGAAAGTTGTTTTTTATGTACTAATTTAGGAAAGTATTTACTTTTATGGATTGAACAATGTCTTCCACCCGCAACTATAATTAGAAAAAATAGCAGGCCCTATTATTATTCAAAAATAAAGTTTTTCAAAATTATGTGATGTAGGTACTCAAATAAAGCGAAATTTTATAAAAATTTCAAAAATAATAATTTTTTTATTTAAAATTTATAATTTTAGATTTAATTGCATAATAACTATAGTTTTTTAACTAAAAGTGAAAAAGGTGCATTTTTACATGTTTTTTAATAACAATTTTGTTTAGCAATATGATTTTTATAAAACGATTATTATTTTCAAATTTTTTATAAAATTTCGCTTCTTTTGAGTACAAGGTTGACCTACTTTTGAAAAACTTTTTTTCTCCAAAATATTAGGGTACCGGTAATTTTCCCAATAAAGTTGCGCCCTTTAAATCTATCACAATCATTCTCATATTTGATAGTATCAATATTAATAACTATTAGCAATGTTTAGAGCCTGTAACAAGAAAAAAATTTTTTTTGACCCACCCTAATATATATATATACACATACACATATAGTGCTTCCAATACCGGTAGTACCGGTACCGGAATACCGGTATTACCAGACATTTTTAAGTACCGAAATACCGGTATTGGTTTGGCTCAATACCGGTATTAAAAATATATGTAGAGGGCTTATGATATAGCAGGTGCTATCGCCCTCTTTATGTGAAATACTAAAGTAAATGAAATACTTAAAACTTTAAACAACGCTTCCGGTAGGAAAAAGATAGCTAGATGAGAAAAGACGTGTTTAAATTGTCTAAAACAAGTATTCTACGTACTTTATACTTAATATCTAGTTGCCAGCTCATTTCCCACTAGGCTTGGTAGGAAATGAGCTAGCAACTAGCCAGCGAACAGCTAGCGTTTAAGACGTATAAAGTACGTAGAATACTTGTTTTAGACGATTTAAACACGTCTTTTGTCATCTAGCTATCTTTTTCTTACCGAAAGCGTTGTTTGATTGTGACTGGAAGTTTTAAGTATTCCATTTACTTTCGTGTTTTTATTAAATAATGAAGCACCAATTTAAAATATTATCATTACGTCACTCGCTTTAATGCAGAACGCATGTTTGAATTTTGCACTAACGTAAATATGAAAAGTTTCGGTAATGTAGAAAGTGGGGAGTTTAAGTAACTGTGATCAACAGTTGTGCATTAGGCATGGGATTCAACTAGGTATTTAAGATATTTTGTACAAAAAAATCGTCAATTTCTGCAAAAAAACTTGAAAGTAATATGCAATAACAGAGAAAGTGACGAGAAAATACTGATGACACAAACATAACCAATAATGATGAATACTTTTCCGGCGGGTTTCAAGTTGTAATGAGTGAAGAGAATGACTCTATTAAACTGACTGATGATTTGCAGCCGTTAATCAAAACGGTGCGCACCGTTGTGAAATTTTTATTTCGCCGTTCTCCGACAAAAAATGATCAAAATTCAAAAACGCACGTTAGAAAAATTTGATAAAGATATTCCACTAATACTTGGATCCAAAACTAGCTGGGTTAGCTTGCACACAGTACTCGAACGTTTTGTATAATTAAAAAAATGCATTCACGAGTCACTTTTTGCCCTTGAGTCCAAAGTTGAGGTAACTAATAATGAGTCCGATGCAATATTAGCTGTTAACTTATGTCTTGTGCCAGTAAAACTGGCTGTGGAAACATTGTGCCAAAATCATGCAACTCTGTTGTGTGCCGATACAACATTTTCATGATAGATAACCTTTGAGAAATCGATTTAGCTGTAAAGTTAAGTTGGTGCAACAATTCAATGAGCAACATACTCTTTTTCCAGCATGCAACATTTTTTGCACAAGGGACATCAACGTTACAAGAATTTGGATCTAGCTCTATCTTTTGAGCACCATAGCAAATTAGCCATTTTAAATACCATTACTCGACTGAAAGATCGGCTCAATCAGAAAGGGTATAGTCCTCTCCCTTTCACCAGCGTTTTTTCCGATAGTGATTCTGTGGACAACGCTGTAAACTTGTCATTGAAAAAAAAGCTTGACTTTGCAATTTTGAAAAATAAGAAATGTAACAACAAGGAAAAATTGAATGTTTCGAATAATTCATCAAAAATTATATGTATTGAAATAGGAATTTTTGAAGAAGAAGGAAATCGTTGTATATATTTGCAAAATTCCTACCGTTACTTGAAAACTGTGAAGCCAACAAAATTAGATGATCTTTTGAAGATGATGTTCTGAACGCCCTATGTTTTTTACGGGCTCATTTTACAAAGCAGAA